AACAAAGTTCTCAATTATTTTGTGAAAGTTTTATCCCTATTTTTTGGCTGATGTAGATTATGGAGAAGTCAGTGTCCCATTTAACATCTCATGTTCTTATAAATACTAAACTCAGGGCCAAGGAGATAGTTTAGCGGACTAAGCATTTGCCTGGCAAGCACAATGATCTGAGTCCCATCACCAGTAGTACATGCTGTGCTGGCCCTGCATTCTCAGGTGCACTGTGCTGGTAAATGAAACTCGGTGTGGTGATGCACACTTGTAATCCCAGTGCTGGGGAGGCTGAGATAGGAGAATCGCTATGAGTCCAAGTTGTGGAGCAAGACCCCGTGCCAAATAAAAATAAATAAATAAGATTTAATATAAATAAATACCAAAATCATGTGACTGCTTTGAGATGTTTTATCACCTGCCTTTGAGTTTTATTGCCTGTCCTTTGATTGTTAATAGGTAACTGTGATAACTAACAAGTACATAAGAATGTTTATTTTAGAAATTTTTATGCTATGTCATGCTTTAAATAAGTAAAGATAGTCACCTGTGAAAATTTTCAATTCATGAAAATCTCAATTCTTATGGCTGATTTAATAGCTTAGTTGTGGGGCCCATGCTTAGAATTTACAAGGCCTTGGTGCTAATCCTAGCATATAAGCAAGCAAGCAAGCAAATAGCAACAACCAAAAATTCTCGTAACTTTTGAAATAAACAACTGTAGTCTAAATAATGTAATCTGTTTTACTGTCTTTTCTTTCTTGGGGGGTCAGAAGATGTGGAGAATAAGCCACAGGTTTATATCTTCTATGCAACAGAGCATTACCCTCATTCCTTATTATTATTGCTGTTTATCTCTCTTACTTTCTTGTTTTTATAGTACTCCAGGCCTTTTATTGTGTTTTATTTTATTTTTGAGGTAGGTTCTCATTTTCTTGTACTGGCTCACCTGGAACCCGCGATCTTCCTTGCTGATCCTCCCAGGAGGTTGGAGATTCTAGCATGCAACATGGACCTCATTTCACCATTTCCATGATCTTTTCATGAGTGGTTAATAATTTCAAAAGTATTCATCACTAGGTATCATTTTCTTTATGGCATCTTATATATCTTCATAGATTAATTACATTACTCATTCAAAATAGTACTGAATCACGTATGAGAAAAGAGTGGATTTGAAAGAATTGTATTCTAATTAATACTTATTAAAATGAACTTTCTATTGATATGTGAGATCCATGATCTAATACCACTGAAAAATGAAGACAGGTATTTTCTCTATGCTTTTTCTATGTTTAAAGAGAAATTGTAACTATATCGTTTATTAATGCAAAATTATTCTAGAGGTTTCAATCTGGTCTCAGAGAATTTTAAGGCTTAATTGCTTAACTTCTGAAGCAGGATCCACAGTCCACTTCATGGTTTGCATTACGCCAATTTCAACTATGCTTTCTTTCTTTCTTTTCTTTTTTTCTGATACCGAAAGTATCCAAGCAGCAACACTCTTTATAAAGAATTACTCCTCAGAGAATTTTACTGATTGTGTTTTGTTTTAATAAGATGAGATATACTGAGATTTGAGTTTATATTATTTTCTTGATGAAGAAAATGTCCTTAATCAATGATGCAGAAATTATTTTTTTCCTTTAACTTCATAGATTCCTATTGAGTTATAAATGAATTTAATCTGGTTCTGTGCTATTGATATTCATAATTTAATATTTGTCAGCGAGTTCTTTCTTCATTCCCACTCCTTATTCTCTTTTTGTTTTTTCTTAGCACACTACTTCAGCATAGTAGTTCGGCAATTCTTTTCTACAGTCACTAGTGACTTACAAGTTAGAATAGGAAATTCCTTTAAAAAAATCTACTTAAAGAGTTCTCACAGTATGTGATTTAAACACTAACAAGGGTTCAACTAGTAAACTTATGGTATATAAAAAAGAAAATATGAAAGCAACTCTGGTAAATTTAAGTACATTTCTTTCTGTAAGATATGAAAAATATTACAATTTTCTAATGGACATTGCAAATATAGAACTTAAATTCACTATTTAAATTTTTCTAAATTTTTTGGAGATACTTTATGGCATTAGATACAGTACACATTTTAAGAAATACTAAAATAACACCAAAGATTTTGAAAAGTTGGCTTCCACAGAAGATAAATGAGGAAAATACTAGACTTAAATACACTTATGCATTAAAATACAGTATGAACAGAAAATAAGATTTCCTCATTGTATATCTTTTTTATTTCTTATGGAAGTAATTATACCCAGGAATTATAATTTTCATGGATCAGGATATAAATAAGTATTATAAATATATAAATCTATTTTTTTCTAAGGTTGTGTAGGTATGTGTGTGTAAGTATATACTTGCATGTGTGTCTCATAAAAGTGTGTGTGTATGTATGTGTGTGTGTGTTTGTTTAAGAACTTCATAGGAAGCATATTTAAAATAAAGACATGAAAGGCTTACACATTTAGTTTGAGAATATCTGAATGGTGTTCTGGCACCTGTGTTTCTAAATTTTTTAGGTGAATGTAAGGCCCTGCATAGTGTGACAGCCAACAGCCTAGAGAACAACAGTCGAAATTTAGAGCACATAAGTTTGCTGTGGGAAAAGAACAGTATGTTTCACACATGAATACTTGTTGCATAGTCTTAAGATAATATAGACAAATAAAATGGAAGAGTAATGGAGAAAAGTATATCAAATCTTGGCTGATATACAGCTTTTAAAAAGTGTATTTAGTACAGGGACTACAGGGCCTCACTATACAGATAGGATTCAGAGTGACTCTCCTGTGTTCAGCCTCCCATGTACTGGGATTCTACAGGGCCTCACAGACCAGAATCATAGTGATCCTCCTGTTTTCAGCCTCCCAAGCGCTGGGATTACAGACGCATGCCACCACACCCACTCTCTATTGCCATGCCCCAGTGGTGGGGTCAGATCAAACCTAGGTCCTGCGATATACTTGTTATTTGGTCATTTACAAGTATTTGCTAACATCTACTGTAGATCTTTTATCAGTCATGAGCACGCAGAAGGAGCACATATAGCAGTTTCTCCATTCATATATTCCAAATTTATTACACATTAGAAAAGACATGTATGTCAGGCATAAGTGTGTTAGCTGTGAAATTCTAATTCATCCTAGTAGCTTAGTAAAGTTTCAAAGCAAACGACTATCAAGATGAATCTAATACATTTGAATAAGGAAAAATAGAACTTGTCACAAGCTATGCTATTGTCCCTGTTCTCTCTCTCTCTCTCTCTCTCTCTCTCTCTCTCTCTCTCTCTCTCTCTCTCTTTGATTCTTATAAGTATTTTTGGTGTTTCTACAGTGATCACTAGAGTCATAACTGTTGTGGCTCACTAGAGATCTTATACCTTACTATTAGTATATCTTATATTGGTCAATACGCTCCAAGCTTATTATGGAAGACAACCATACCCTATCAGAAAACTTCATAGTTTTGACTGTACTTGTTATAAAAAAGATGTAGAAACATTTTATTTGATCCTTAGTATAACTGTTCATATTATTTTCTTCACATCCTAGAAATTGGTTTGGTTTATTAAGAATTTATAAAAGAATTGTCAAAATCCCAGTCTGCAAATGTATTCCTTTCTGGAAAAAAAAAAAAAAAACCTAAAGGATTTCAATTAATAAAGTAGTCCGTACATTTTTATTATATTGAAAATTCACTCTTCTGTTAAAATAACTATTTCATTTTAATGATCTAATTTAATGATCTAATTTTATGTGCCATTATAACAAGGGTTAAATTATTATTCTAAAAATAACCTAATGTAGTGTTAAAAGATTAACTTAATGAGCAAAGTATACCTTATTAGGACTCAGAATAAATCTATTTGTGAAATAAGACTGTCTCACGCTGGTCTTCAGTGCTGGGATTCCACTTGCTGGTAGGCGTGCTCTGGAGAACGCTGGAAGTGCAGCAGCGGCGCACTCAGCAGCTGAGGCCTCCCCTCTCCGCCGCAGCAGAGCCTAGGGCAGTCAGAGACCATGGCAGGGGTTTTGGACTGCAGGGCTGACGTGAGAGATAGGTGGAGCTGTCCCTCTCTCAAGGACGCTGACATTGGCACGCAGGGTGCTGGGGATGTGCCCTTTCTCAGGGGACATAGCTCTTATGCTTAAGTATGGGGGAATTTACTAAAATGAGCTTCAAATGGAAAACTGCTTTTCCAATCCGTGACTTTTTGAAAAATGTATTTAGTAGAGGGTCCATAGGGTCTCACTACACAGATCATACTCATAGTGATTCGCTTGTGTTGAGCCTCCCAAGCGCTGCGATTACAGGCACGCGCCATCACTCCCTGTCTCAATCGTCATCTCAGCGTGCCAAGGGAGTAGGGCTGGCATGGCACGCCAGGGATAGAACTCTGGTACCTGCATTTGCCTAAGCAGAAGCTTTAGTTTGCTGAGCTATCTGGCCGACCCTAATCTGTGACTTTTTGATTCAATCATCCCTTTTGGTTTGTATTTCCAAAGAAAGGGTGTATGTTGAAGTTCTAGATTTCAGTTTAGTCATTTTACTAATCTTCCTGGTTTAAATGAACATATTCTGAATCTGATGTCTGTCATGGATCCCAAGGAGCAGAACTAAACTCCCTGTTTGAAAAAGTACTCATTTACTTTGCAAAAACAAAGAATGACTATTTAATTTTATTTCATAAAAATGACTGTTTGATTGCACAATTTAAGTTTCTACATCAGAAATTGATAGCAATGGCAAAACTACAACTTTAAATACCAGGAAGGAGTTCATTCATTTGTACTGTAGTTTATGAAGGATTGCAAAAACTTTTTCTTTGCTTCTCTTCACAATTTCCTCAAAAAATACACACCCGAAGTTAATTATGATCATTGTGATATCAATAAGTATTTTTTTATATCAAACAATTTAAGGTTGAGAATGACATTAATGTCAGAATATGAGATTATTTGAGAGATATACAAAATCAAAGCTGTAGCTCTGTACAGTTGCAGTATGGTAACCAATGAGGTTTTTCCAAGGTGTGATTATTGCTAATTAAAACTTTTCCCAGTACCCCACCATGACAACTTGAAATATAATATGCATTGACAATTTCTGAGAGTCTCTATGGAGACTGATTAAAAAAAAATAAGTCAAGGACCAGTAAGATAGCTCAGCAGACTAAGCACCTCCTTAAGCAAGTGCAGGGACCCAGGTTCAATACCCAGTACCACATGCCGAAGCAGCTCTCCCCTAGACCCATGGAGCCAGCCACCAAGACCCGGTGTGGTGGTGCACACCTGTATTCTCAGCACTGGGGAGGCTCAAACAAGAGGATCACTATGAGTCCAAACTGCTCAGTGGACCCTGCATCAAATACATTAAAAAAAAAAATCAAAGTTGTAAGACAGAAACAGAGGTGGCACCTAATTAGAGCACATTCCTTGGGGACCATGACTTAGATGCTAATGCACACCAAAGCTGCTACAAAGATTATAAAAGCAGTTAAGAGGAAGGATCTCTGTCTCTTGTACCTAGCAAATATTTGTTGGTTGACATGCAAACTATCACTGCATTAAAACATTTCTGAAATTCTGAAAATGATAGATAGGCAAACCAAAATATTTTAAAGAAAAATTTAAGAAATGAATGTATATGCAAGGGAAAATAACTCTTCTTTTCTGAAATATTAGAGAATATTGCTTAACATTATCCCAAAACATTTCAACAACATGAATATCAAGTGATAAAAATATTCAAGTTGTGAAAAGAAAAACATATCCCTACCTCATACTGTTTTTATGGTATGCAATTGCTCCTGTCACAGGTTATTTTGCAATATTCAATTACTTTTCCTTGGACCAGTTATGACAAGCCAAAGCTATAAAACTGATATGGTTTTATAAAGATAGATGCCTGTCTATAGGCAACCTAACTTTTAGAAACTCCAATAATGATCATTAATTGCTTTCTTTCCCTGGTTCGTTTACTTAAAATTTCAATGCATATGTCATGACACTTTCTGTTAAAAAGACACTAAAAAGAGAATAATGTAGAAAAAATTCAGTATTTTCACTAACACTAAATGAATTGCCAAAGCTGCCCTCATCAGAATTATTTTGTGTGTAAATATTGTGCTTTATAAAATTGGGGTATCAATCTGAAAAGAGTAACACAATTTTAAAAGTACCCTACCCCATTGTTAATGAAAATAAATTCACTGCTAAAAATAGAAAAGATAAAATATTGACCTCAAATTAAATAGAGGCTGTAATAAACCTTGTCTATTTTCTTCTTGTGAATATGAGATATGTGTTTAAAGAAGAAGAAAGAAATTTTGAGAGCTGTAGAGTGGAAAGGAGAGATAAGTGAAGAAAGGAGATGAAAAGAGAAGAGAGGAAAGGAGAGGAGAGGAGAGGAGGAAGGGGAAGGGAGGATAGAGGAAGAGAGGGGAGGAGAGCAGAAATGAGGGGAAGAGAGAAAGAGGCAGAGGGAAAAAAAGATTTTGAAAAAAAGTGTATAAAATTTTGAGTTTTAAGAACTCTTTTACCATATTCCCAGGCATTATTCCACTTCACTTATACTGAATCTTTGAACCTATAGTTGCATTTCTATACAAGGATAGAGCAATGGGCTGGTTTAAAACCTCAGAATAATGTCTCCTTTAAAGCTAAGATGCAGGACCAGTGAGATAGCTTAGTGGACTAATGCGTCTGCTTAGGGAAGCTTAGGCAAGCACACAGGGATGGTGTTCGATCCTTGGCACCACTGCCACACCAGCCCCAACCCCAGGGCAGGCTGGGCCAGCCACAGAGAAATAAAGCTAGGATGGCAACACTGTAGTACTTCAACTATCTCTTATTTTGGTGAGAATCAACTAAACATATCCAAAGCAGATTTCTAGTTGTGAGAATAGGGTCACTGTCCCAAGGTCTTTTAGCAGAGGACATGGGCCCTTTTTTAGTGATCAGCATAAAAATGGTTGAGAGAAGTCAATTAGAATTATAGGAATAGTTTCTTCACAATGAACAAAAAATCAAAGCATACAAATCTTTTTGGGTATTGTAATTGTGTTTACTGAAAGTGACAGGTACCTCTAAGAATAACATGAATAACATAAGAGGGTAAACATGGGAAAATGTTTATTTTATTCTTTCTCTTAGGACTGACTTACAAATTTGGCTTGCTTAGCTAAAGATAGTCTATGTGTTCATTGAGTTACTTGGTTATGTAGACCTCAGGCTTCATAGATAGCCAAATGGCCACAAATAAGTAACTTTAACATTGTTTATACAGACATAGAACAGATATGATGAGTATTTTGTGAAGTGTTTTCCTATTGTTTATCATTTATTTCATTTTATTTATTTTTTATTTATTTGGTTCAGGGTCGTGCTACACAACTCAGACTCATTGTGATCCTCATGTCTCAGCCTCTCCAGCGCTGGGATTACAGGAATGCACCACCACAGCTAGTTTTGGTGGACAGAACTGTGTGCCAGGAATTTCGGGGCCAGCACAGCATGTGGTACTGGGAATGGAACCTGGGTCCTTGTACTTGCCAGGCAGGTGCTTAGACCATGGAGCTGTCTATCAAGCCCATGTTTTCTTCTTTAAATTGAGAAGAAATAAGATAAATAGATAAGGAAAATGTGGCAAAAGATGAGTTTTGAACATATAATTGTTAAAAATGGAGAGGAGGCAGGAAACTTTTAGCGGAAAATATTTGAGGACATTGATATATTTCTGAAATAGTTTTATTATAAAATAAGAGCAGGTTCTTTCATGAAATCTTAGGAAGCTCTTATGAAGTCTTAAAAGACCTCTAAATGTACATGTCTTATTCCTTGAATGATTTGTACATCTTTTGACTATTACACTTGAAAGGTATATTAGTAAGTCATGTAATTGATGCATTTTGAGTATTTATTGAACCAAAAAGTATCAGTCTATCCTGGAAGTTCATTATCAGGTTATTTTCAATTATATTATCATCATAAATTTCAAGATTTATGAATATCTTGAATTTTGGAAAATATGATACTTAGAATTGTAAGGATTTGAAAAGCGAAAAATAAAAAGTTAAATGTACTTTGAAAATTTAAGTTTTTTGATAGTACATTGATATTAATATCAACAGGATGTCAACATACTTAATAGAAATCTGCCTCTAATTTTTTTTCAAATGTATCACAGTGGTACCTCAGTTCATGAGCTTCATTCTTTTCACAGTTCTGGTCACAAACCAAGTTGGACAAGAACTGAATCAAATTCAGTGGTTAGGGTCAATTTTCACCTTACGGGGAAATGTGACTCAGTTCTCAACCACATTAGTTTGTAACCAGAATTGTGGAGAGAATTGAGTTCATGTGCTGAGGTACTACTATGCTTCTTGTAAGTTAGTTAATAAAGATTTTGTATTCCTTTTAAATGTTTTATTTATTTCTAAACTCATAAATATATTTTCAGACTCTCAAATTTCTAATCAAAAAATATTTACACCAATATTAAAATATTTTATATTTAAATTGATCAAAAATAAATATTAGGATTTCAAGCTATTATGAGAATATTAGTCATTGGCTTTTTTTAAGAAAAGTATATGAAGAATAATCCACATATTTTAAAGATATTTACAAATGAAAGGGAAAATAGTATTCTCTGCAAGTACTTCTTTCTCTGGCTTAAACTCCATTTCTCTGTCTCTGCTTGGTCTTCGTTGCTTGAACAATCTTCCAACTTCTCTTTTATGAATTCCTGTGCTGACTAACGGCCTCTGAGTCATAACACTTCATTATTCCAAAGAAGAGTTCATCCAAATTCCACTTAGTACAAAGCCTCATTATATTGAATGCTTTACCATGCTGTGGCTTCAGCTCTTCTCTGGATGTTCATCCTCTACTGTATTTAGAATTAAGCACCTGCTCCTCTAATATCTCATATTCTACTCAGTATCTCCATTTTAACACCACATAACCAAAAGTCATCTCCTGATCTCTCCCACAATTCCTCACTTTCCTATCTCAGGAAGTCAAAGCAAAGTTTGATTTCCGGTTATTCATGGCAAACATTTCAGGCACCACTGAGCCCTTTCTCTCCAATCCCGTATGCCATCTGTACATGAAACAAGTGTATGCTTTCATAGACTCTCCCCCTTACTGACTCTTCCAGCCTCCAGCCTGACCTGAGCCACCACTGCTTTATGTTTCATCACCCAGCAGCAAGTGTCTCCTCTTTCTCATGTCAATAATCTTGCAACCACAGCATCCATGATGAGCCTTAAGAACACTCAAACTCTGAGTAAAACCCAATTGTTCTAGAACTGATTTGGCCTTCCACTACTTCCTACAATTCGTATGCTACTGCTACTGTTTTTACTAATTATGGTGTTTTCATAACACTGGCCCTGCCAGACCTTTGAATGTTTCAGCTTCTTTCCCGTTAGTTACAACTTCCTGGGACTTTTCCTCCAGTGGGCTTTGCTCTGTGCTGTTTGTGGGAGCTCGTTCCTCACACTCAAACTCATTAACTTCTCATAATCAGTATCTTTTCTGTTTTCCTTTTCTGCCAATACCCTCTTCTATATAGGTTATTAAATGCTTTATTTATTGTTTATTATTATTTTAGTGTATTTGGTTGTTGCAGGGTCTCACAACACAGTTTGCACTTGTAGTGATCGTCCTTTCTTCAGCTCCCAGGTGCTGAGATTACAGGCATGTGCCGTCATGCCAGGCCACAGTCACCAGCTCAGCATGCCCTGGGGGCGGGGCTGGTGTGGCATACTGTACCAGGGCTTGAACCTGGATCCCTGCGCTTGCCTAAGCAGGTGCTTAGTTCTCTGAACTATGTTGTGGGCCACAACTTTGAAAAATCTTATGTAATATAACATAGGACTCATGAGATTTAACCCTGGAAATCCTGCTGTAGAGGACATTTTCTGCCCACCACAATGACAATAATTTTGCAGTGCATGCAAGCATTTTTTCTATAATGCTTTGTTTAAATTTAATGCAAATTAATGTGCATTAAGAAATTTAGGAATAGGGTACTTGAAGGATCTTCCACCTAACACTGAGATATCACTTTAATATATTTTAGTAGTGCTTAACATTAACGTGGAAAATTAACTACAAA